CCTCTGACATGTAATAAATGGCATGGAGGTAGTGGTGTGCCATTAGAACAGGAGCCCCCCAGGTCAGATTTCTGGTTCAAGTCTGGGCTCTGCCACTTCCTACCTGTCTGACCTTGAGCATCTCACTTTATCTCAATTTCTTTTCTTTACAATATTTCCTAGGGTTGGTATGAGGATTAATTAGATAATACACAAAGCACAGTAAGTTACATTTGCTAATGGCATATGAGTAAGGTACTGAAAACTATTACTTTGTGGCTGTTTTTCTCTACAACTTGACTTTTTGGCAGGCGAGAATTCTACCACTGAACCACCAATGCTCACAACAACTTGACTTTTTAATGCCTTAATGGCAGACAACTGAGTTTTTTAAGGCCTAAGAAAGCTTTTGTGTCTGCTAATAAAATCACTGGTTGCTTTCATTGTTATTCAATTCAATAAATTCTGTTTCAAGACCTAGTTGTTTTTTTTTTAAACCTTTAAGCTCAAGGCATATATCTCTTTTATTTTCCAGTTTGCAAATGATACAAACACATTTTCTTTGATCAGTGTTTAACTTCCATCTTCACCAGGTTACATGGAAGTAACAGATCACAATAAAACCCATATATAAGCTTAGAGGTTTCCTGAATTTTTAAACAATATTTACACATTTAATACATTATCTTCTTAACCCCCTCAAATGTATAACTAGGCGGACATAAGAACCTAGCAGCAAAGAATTTCTAAGCCCTGCAACCGGAACTTGTGTTTGCTGTCAGAGAGCCTCGGGTCAGAACTGCTCGGGGAGCCGTGTCTCGAGTTTCACACTTGTGCCTCTTCTTAAAGCCTTGAGTATGTGTCACATGGCCCACTCCCTTGTTTTGATCCATAGCCTCTGAAATGAATTAATGAGGTTCTACATCTGTTCAGATCTACATTTCTACTTAATTCGATACTGTACCCTTTTTATAGACTATTTATATACTTGTCTCACAGTTTCATAGGTACTATATCAAAACATACATTTTATAATAAGATAACCGTAATTTATTTAGCTAATACCCTGTCTTTGGATATTATGCTATTTCCAATTTTCAAGCATTACTTGTGGAAATATTTTTTGTACGTCCTTGTTTCCTTTGGATAACCCACAAAATACACTAACTCGGAGCCACGACCCCAATATGCTTACGTAATGTAGTCCAATACCCACCCGTGCAAACCTTCCACCGACTCTCCCATCTGCTTCCTGCTGAAGCTGAGAGTCTGTCGAATTAAGGAACAATCCTATTGAGATTATTAAGAGAAAATGACTACTGGTATATATTAATATGGTAATATCAAGCCCTCTATGGTATAATAGAGGTAACAGAAATAAAACATAGAAGCAAAATGATGTGCTTTCTTGTAATTTCACACAAAAAACTTAAGTTCTCCTAGGGATGAAAAGAGGAGCAGCTGTGGAAGCCTTCTTTCACCAGCGACTAGAACACGTACTGCAGAGCTGAAACTGTGATGTGGACAGCGAAGGAGCGTAGCTATATGTACTGCTATTTCTACTACTGAAAACGTTTTCAAAAGTCACGTGGGTGTTGAATTTTATCAAATGCCTTTTTGACTTCACTCAAGATGATCATATCTTTTCTTTTTTACATATATTTGTATTTTATTACAATCACTTATTCATTTGAAACCTTCCTTGCATTTCTGGAATAAATCATACCTATTTCTTAAAAAAAAAACAAAACAAAAAAAACCAACTAACAAAACAGTATCGTGTACTAAAAGTTTCAGAGCTTTGCATTTGCCTTCCAAAGGAAGATTAGCTGTAGCAACCTTTAGCTCTTTAATGATCTAGGTTAACCTCTAGTATTTTGCAATGTAAGAGGCCTTGAAAGCCCTCCATCCGCCTTGTGCTCAGGTACAGCTCCCTAAGCAAATGAGCTAATGGGATTGCCATCCATGGAGAGGAACTACTGTGGCCTTTGTCACTTCCCCAGATACTTACTGGTAGGGCAGGGTTACCACAGGAATGAGTATGTTGTAATCGTCATCTTGATGACAGACAGTGCGCCCCAGGATTGGCTGACACTTGCTGATTGTGGTTTATATATTGAATCTTAATGAAATCCCAAGGAAAATAGCAATCGAGCCACTAATGCTCTTACTCCCAGGAGCACAGAGCTCTTCAAGGTTAATTATTTCAGTCATCTTCACAGTTGTCCCATGAGGTGAGTGGCAGAGCACTTCCTCTTTAAAAAAAAAAAAAAAGGTGACTAATTGGATTTTCTTCTGTTCTACATTCTGTGTTCTAGAACTGGGTAGCCACCTTCTAAAGACCATCTGTGTGTCCATTGGTGGACCTGGGTTTTAAAATCGCAGGCTTCTTTCACATACAAATGCCAGGCTCGCAGCATGTGGAATAGGAAAGTGGGAGGAAATCTGGATGGCCTTTGGCAAGATGCTATGAGTGGGATAGCCTAGAGTTGGTAAAAAGAGACAGGTCATGGCTGAGTTAGTGCTTTGCTACCTCCATGAAGAATAGTCATCCGTGGTGTTGAAGGTTTGTTTTTGACTGCCTCACTGAGGCACCTCTTATGTTTACTCTTCCCGCAACCTTGTGCCAGGTTGCCACAGAGAATACCAGGGAACCCCATTTTACAGAGGGACACTGCTGCTTTCTCATCCGACTCTAATGTGTCAGCAGCTGGGGTTTTCACAGGGACAAGAGAGAGAGAGACGTCCGAAATGCTTAGTACTCTCCCTTAGCGGGGATGTGTCTCCGTCCTCCCGCCATCCTCTGTGTCTGCCAGGCTAACGCTGCTCCTGCATCTGCTTCCTCCCAGATGGCCTGTGCCTGTCTGTGGACACATCCCGTCAGGGGAGCGGGGACAAAGTAACGCTGCTTTGTTGAGGGCCCACCTCCTCCCTTGTACACGTGCCATTCAGCCTTCTCGCAGAGCCTGCTCACGTCAGTTCTGCCTCCTCTGTCAGACTGTGAGCCCTTTGGGTGGATATTCAGGTCGGTGTCATTTGGTTGGTTTTTTGCTTTTCACTCCTTTTAATTGCCCCCTTCCCGTACCCCTCATCGCTGGGGCATTTGGGTGCACAGTAAACACTGTGGTTGCTCTGTGTACCATCCACAACTCCCAACAAACATGGCCTGTACTTATTAACTGTGTCATTTTAACAACTTTTTTTTTTCCTTTCGGCAAATGAAGGCTTAGCTGTCACCACTTTGAGTTTTTCCTCCCCCTTAATTTTTCCCTGAAGTTATCCTGAAAGAGAGGCCTTTCAAATGCAAAGGATTATGCGTAAATTGTACAGTGTGCTCAAGCCCAGGACTAATTAGAAGGCCTGGAAGCCTCTTCAGGTGGCCGGGATCTGCAGTCTGGCTAAATGCTGCTTCCTAAATTGAGAACAGCTGGGGCCGTGTGGCCAGCGGGTATAAAGAGCGGGTGCCGGTGCCCTGGGCTGTGAGGACGTTTTTGCTCTTTGGAGCCTGCGGAGCCTCTGCTGAAGGCACCCTTTCCTCCCGGGGGTCGCGGTGGGTAAGTGCCTGCGCCGGTCCTCGCCGTGCCTGTTTCTGTTGTTTTGCCAGAAATGGTAGTGGCTGCATCGAAATGTTACTAATTTGCCATGCCGGCTGTCGTAAGTTATTTCATCCTTCGGGAAACAGGCAGAGTTTGTTGCCCCAATGAGAGAGAGCTCAGGCTTTGTGTCTCAAAGGCTTTGTGTTATTTCGGAGGCTGTCCGCCTTCCTGGTGTATGGGGTGCATCTCTGACTATAAAAGGGTAAACCGAGGCAGTGTCATTTCGTTCTCGAATATTCTGAGGAGTGGTCACTTAAAAAGATTACAGTTATTGTGTGTGTATTTTTTTAAAATCCTCATCTGAGGGTATGTGTATTGATTTTTTAGAGCGAGGTAGAGAGAGAGAGAGAGAGAAAGAAACATTGATCGGTTGCCTCCCATGTGAGCCCCAACTAGGAATTGAACCTGCAAACCTGCTAGGTATGTGCCCTGACTGGGAATCGAACCCACAAACTTTTGGTGCATGGGTTGGTTCTCAGGAAGAGAACCAACTAACTGAGCCACTCGGCCAGGACAAGATTCCAGAGTTTTAATAAGAAAATAGAAAGTTGACTTTCTGACAAATGTAGATGGTAACAATTATTCAGAGCATGTAATCATCGCAGTTTTTTAAAAACATATGTGTTTTTATTTATTTCAGAGAGAACGGGAGAGGGAGAGAGAGATAGAAACATCAATGATGAGAGAGAATCATTGATTGGCTGCCTCCTGCATATCCCAACTGGGGATTGAGCCCACAACCTGGACATGTGCCCTAATTGGGAATCAAACCGTGACCTCCCGGTTCATAGGTTGATGCTTAACCACTGAGCAACACCAACCAGGTTTGGTTTTTTTAGAGAGAGAGGAAGGGAGATGGACAGAAAGATAGAAACATTGATGAGAGAGAAACATCAGTCGGCTGCCTCCTGCATGCAACCCAGGCATGTGCCCTGACTCAGAATGGAACTGGCCACCTCCTGGTTCAAGGGTCGGCGCTCTACCACTGGGCCATGCCGGCAGGGCAATCATCACAACTTTTTATCCTGTAAGGTTCCTGGAAAAGATGCAGTCTTAGGAAGGAGTGATGTGATCTGGGGAGGTTCTAGCTCATTGTGACTTCATGGTTAGCAACAGGCATCAGTGGCTGATGAAGTGGTTGCAGTGTTGGGTCCTGGCTTCTATTAAAAGAAAGTTAAAAGGAATTGATTATTAAAATGTTCCTATTTATACTGACATCAGCTCAAAAAGAGAAGAATTCCAAGATAAAACAATTCAGTATTTTATAAATAAACTCGTCTCGGCAGCTATAACTATGTTCTGACGATACATTTATAAAGCAAATGACTTTGGTATTTGTTTCCATATTTTGATCATGTTCTTTTTTGGATGGTTGACAGTTGGAGGGGCACGATATCTGATCGTAGTTTTGTTTTGTTTTCACAGGAGCCGCAGTGAAATCCCTGGGGGAAAGAGAATTGGCCTGCTTCCCTGACAGCGGCGGATGCACAGTGGAGAGCTGCATGGGAGGACCAGGCATCTGGTGGCTACTTTCTACGTTTTACACCAGGAAACAGAATCAGATGAAGAGCCCATGTTTATCTTGGAAATAGAAGGTTTAAAAAACATTTCTACTAAGAACACTACCATCCTCTTTTGGATCTGAAGACTGGGGGACAATGGATATCATAGAGACAGCAAAACTTGAAGAACATATGGAAAATCAAACCAACGATCCGGCAAACACGTACCCAAGGCCTGCTGAACCTGCCGAAGAAGAAGAGAAAAATGGCAACGGTAAACCCAAGAGCTTATCCAATGGGCTGCGGAAGGGCTCCAAAAAGTACCCAGACTATATCCAAATCTCTATGCCCACGGACTCCAGGAGCAAATTCCCCCTGGAGTGGTGGAAAACGGGCATCGCGTTTGTGTATGCTGTTTTCAACCTCGTCCTGACGACCGTCATGATCACAGTCGTACATGAGAGGGTCCCTCCCAAGGAGCTCAGCCCTCCACTCCCAGACAAGTTTTTTGATTACATTGATCGGGTGAAGTGGGCATTTTCTGTATCAGAAATAAATGGGATTATATTAGTTGGCTTATGGATCACCCAGTGGCTTTTTCTGAGATACAAGTAAGTAGGTCTAACACATTTGGGATTTTTTGAGGGGGGATGCGGGAAGGGGGCATGTTGGGGGGAATGTGCCATTAGTTTGTACTTATGTGAATAGATGTGTGCTTGGAATTATCTTTCTTGGTTTTATGTCGTAAATTCAGTCATATCCAGGCATTTGATGAAAGGAATCACTAGAAAGGTCTGCCACATTGGATAATCAGTCACTATTCAGTAAGCATTGATGGTACAGCTGTGACTGGAAGTGACAGCTGTATAGGAAAGAACAGAGGTGCTGTGGTGGGTGACTCAGAGTTTGTGAATTTAAGGTGCAGTTCTGATTTCAAGCAACTTGGCACTGTGGCACTTGCATGATAAATCAAGAGTCGTGGGGAGTAAGAACATTCACTTCATCACGCTTGAGTTATTTCAGGCTCTTGACAGGCGGGGTCAGCGGAGTGCTGGGAGCTTTTCTCCCCATTGCTCACAATGCAACAATGACTATACACGAGACTATATAAACCAGCGGTTCTCAACCTGTGGGTCGCGACCCTTTGGGGGTCGAACAACCCTTTCACAGGGGTCGTCTAAGACCATCGGAAAACACATATATAATTACATATTGTTTTGTGATTAATCACTATGCTTTAATTATGTTCAATTTGTAACAATGAAATTGGGGGTCACCACAACATGAGGAACTGTATTAAAGGGTCGCGGCATTAGGAAGGTTGAGAACCACTGATATAGACGGTAGCATGCTTTGAGGTTTGCTTTTGTTCAGGAGTTCTCACATTTTGCACTTCTTTTCCTTGGGCCTGTTGGCAATCCAGTCCCAAGAATCCGTTTCAGAAACTGAATTTAGAAGTGGGCCATGCGGTTTTGGTTTTAGATTTCTAAAGTAAACGTCTGGTTTCCAGGGCACCACAAAAGAGCTTTTAGTTCCAGGTTTCGGTCTCCCTGTTTGGGAATAGCAGAATCAGGAAGTACTAAGCCAGGTACTTTTGCTTTGAAGACACTTGAAAATAGGACATAGCTCTCAAGTGGTTGTTTCTTTCCTGTTAATTCCATAAAAAATAAAGCCCTTCCCTTCCCCTTCTCACTTTATTTATCATTCAGATATATGTTCTCTAATAAGATGCTAGTAATGAAACCACTAAAATAAAAGTTTGATCAAAACATTAGCCACAAACTGAGGCCTTTGAAAATGCAATGTATGCCGATTTAATCAGTACAATTCAAAAATTCAGAGTTCAGTAGGATTTCAATACTGATGCCACAAGATCATTTTTAGAAGAGGGAATTTATGCTATATTGTTCTTTCAATTGGTTGTTGCTTTGAGATTAGAAGAATTCAATCTGTCTTTGCTGAACAGTCCCCTACATGCAAGTTTGCAGTTTAAAAAACTGAGTCCACCAACAAGTCATTCCTAAGCATTTTCCTTAAAGTGTCCCTCTTAATATGTTTCCTTAATATGTGTAAGTAAAATAGCTATCAGTTTTCTTTTACTTAGTAGAATTTTTTTGCTGCTAAAGTTGTCAGTTATGTCATGCTTAGGCTGGAAGTAAACTACATTTGTTGAACTTTAGTGTTTTTTTAACTTATCTTTATTGTTGAAAGTATTGCAGATGTCTCCCTTTTTTACCCCCACTGACCTCTTCTACCCGGCCCCCATGCTGCCCCCCAACCCCATAGGCCTTCACCACACTGAACGTTAGCGTTTTTCTCTTCTGTGTCTGGAATTGACCCTGAATAGAAGAGAGACTGCTTGGGCCAAAGATGTGCTTTCTCCTTTAATTTAGAGCCAAGTTTTATTCATATATGTGTGAAAGGAAATCTTCTAGCTTCCAACCTGAGGATCTTAATTTGTTTGAATCTTCACCCGATTGTTGCTACCATGTCAAAACTTGTGGTCACACAGCTAGCCACATTTTTTAGTCATATCTACTGCTTTGGTCACAACCCATCATCAAAAAGGTGCTGGGGAAATCACACTAATTTTCCTTTTCATTTTTAAGGTAGAATTGGAGCATATGTTTTAGGAACTAGTGGAGTAATTTTTATAACCTGTTTTGAGCCATCCTGGCTGAATGCGAAATCTCAATCTCTCTCCCCCCACCCCCACTCCCCCCCCCCCCCTCTCTCTCTCTCTCTCTCTCTCTCTCTCTCTCTCTCTCTGTCAAACACCTTCGTAGCTATGGGAAAAGTCATTGGTTGTAGCTCTTTTCCTAAACAAGGCTGCAGAGGGCATGCTTTCCCTTCTTAGCTAATTTTCTATACAGCTGAATTCAGAACACTGGAATGAGTATAATTGACTCATGTAATTCCTGCTTATCGCTTTCCTTTGTCTAACAGCCGTGGGCAAACTACGGCCCTCGGGCCGGATTCGGCCCGTTTGAAATGAATAAAACTATTGAAAAAAAAAGACCGTACCCTTTTATGTAATGATGTTTACTTTGAATTTATATTAGTTCACACAAACACTCCATCCATGCTTTTGTTCCGGCCCTCCGGTCCAGTTTAAGAACCCATTGTGGCCCTCGAGTCAAAAAGTTTGCCCACCCCTGGTAGCACATGGAGCACAGCTCAGCCCTCTTTGAGGGCCTGGGGTTGAATCAAAACGTGAATCATCTTTCACTCAACCAAATGGAGAGACTCCGCTGTGTCTATCCCCTGTCCCTTTTCAGTGCTATAAAAGGCAGAGCCTGAATAGCAAGCCTTTGAAAGCAGAGCCTTGCAATAAATGCATACTTTCATCAACTCCTCAAGGTGGTGTTCCTCTCTATTTTGACCCCAGAAACCCTGGAATATTCTTAAAATAGCTACTGGAAATAAGGTTCTAAAAATATATTTGTCCATGATTCTTTAAAAGAGAAACCCCAGCAGTTACCTGATATATTTCAGACCGCAGTCTTGTAGAAAACTTAAAATATCTCTCTCTCTCTCTCTCTCATCAATAAGCATGTCCTCTGGTTAGGATTTAAACACATACATACATACATACATAAAAATATGCCACATGCCTCAGACTGCCTGTTTGTCCAGAAGTCTGACCATTACCAGCTTTGGAAGTTTGAGAGCTCTGAAAATGGGAGACCTGGAATAATATAGTGTGTGTACTAGGGAAGTTCCAAATAGTAATTCTAGGGATCCCACCGGCCTCTTAATCCCCAGAGCCCAGAGTTTGTAGACCCACCCCCGAACTTCACAACAGAAGAGGAGTTTCCGTCTTCACCTGCAAGTGAGGCTACTCAGAACCCTTATGCCCATTTGGTACCGTTGCGCAGTGGTACAAATAGTGTGCTCAATGTCAGCCGCTGGGAACCACCGCCTTAGACCGAGGGCATGGATGGTGTAGGACGGGCTAATGTCGGTCAAGACAACGATCTCCACCAAAAATGATAAAGTGAAAAAGGACTTGTGGTGCTTTTGTTTATTTTTGCCTCTTTTGGTCAAGATTGAATAAGGGTAGACTAATCAGTTTATAACTTCATTATTAAATATTCTTAAATACACGAGGATACTCTGAGTATCTTCAGCATATTCTGTGAAAATCTATAGTGTAGTCATAGACAAAAGTTAATGCCCAGGTTGTCAAAATACTGTTGGATGGTCCCCAAATAATCCTTGTTTCTTATATAACAGGTTTAATGAGTCATCCCGTTTCCCTGTGTGTCCAATTATGTGGCATGACCTGAGCTCATTTGTCAATTCCTCAGTGGCCGTGGGTTGCTTATACCTTTGGTATGTTCCCGAGAGGGTTCTATAATGCACTGAGTTGACTGGAAACAGACAGGCTCATTGAATTTTCTCTCAAAGAGTGACTTCTTTCGGAGAGGTGGTTTTCTAGAACCCTCAGTCCCCACAAACTCAACTCCTTTAGGGCCCAGACCACCTAGACTGATTACAGCATGTGAAGACTGCGGAGCAGCCGCTCTGTGGAATTGTGAGGAGGGGCAGCCTAGAAATAAGCTGTGAAACTGCGGTCTGTTAATGCCATTCTGTGTTACTTTTTATTCTGCCAAGCACTCTTTTACGTAACATTAGGAACAGAAACAGCGAGTAACCATGTTTTCCCCCATCCCTCGTATTCCCTTAGGTCAATAGTGGGGCGCAGGTTCTTTTTTATCATCGGAACATTATACCTGTACCGCTGTGTCACCATGTATGTCACTACGCTGCCTGTGCCTGGCATGCATTTCCAGTGTGCTCCGAAGGTAAGCACCTCTGATTGAAAACACTTATTAAACATCTGCTCTCTGTTATAATCTTCAAAACACTTTCCTGTGTTAACTGAAATATTATTTAGGACTAGAGGCCTGGTGCATGAGTTTGTGCACCTGTGAGGTCCCTTGGTCTGGCCCGCGGGATCGGGCCGAAACCGGGACCTCGGCAAAGGCTCCAGGGCATGTCTGGCCTGTCTCACTCAGTCCAATCTGCTGGGCCCCAGCAGCAAGCTAACCTACCGGTCAGAGCGTCTGCCCCCCTGGTGGTCAGTGCATTTCATAGCGAGTGGTTGAGCTGCCTTAGCATATCATTAGCATATTACGCTTTGATTGGTTGAACGGACAACCGGGCACTTAGCATATTAGGCTTTTATTATATGGGATATTTTCTGTTTTTCTTTAGATTTAGGTGTAAGAAAATTGAAATGTGTTCATAAAATATATATCTTTGTACATAAAAAATTCATTTTCTGCTACCTGAAAGTTGCTATTGGGAATTTGACTCCCCTGTTGTACCTTTACTTACTCACTTATGCATTCATTCTGCAAGTGCTCTGCTCCTGTTATGTCGCAGGCACTGTGCAACAGCAGTGACTAAAACAGTTCTTCCCCTACAGCTTACATTCTGTTGAGGGATGAAAACTGATAAATGTATAACTTGTGCCCGGCCAGTGTGGCTCAGTGATTGAGCGTCACGCTAGGCACCAAGGGATTGCAGTTTGATTCCAGTCAGGGTACATGCCTGGATTTCGGGCTTGATCCCTAGTGGGGGTATGCAGGAGGCAGCAGATTCTCTCTCATCAGTGTTTCTGTCTCTCTATCCTTCTCCCTTTCTCTCTCTATAAAATCAATAAAAACATATTTTTAAAAAGAACCATATAACTTGTCACATGGTGATAAGCCAGGGGGCTATCAGATGGGTGGTAAACCTGAGTCAGAGTGAAAGGGACTATGAAGGTAGGTATTAGTTTACAGAGGGGGTCAGAAAGCTTCTTTAATGAGAAAGCACCAAGGCAGCAATCACATGAGGGAGGGAGCTCTATGGATGGGATGAGAGCCCCAGGCCAAGGAAATAGCTCAGTCACAGAGTCAGAGAGCGAGAGAGAGAGAGAGAGAGAGAGAGAGAGAGAGAGAGAGCAAAGAGGCCAGTGCGGCTGGTGGAACTGTGGGTCAGGGTGGTGCAGCCACAGATCCCATGGGGCCTTGTGGCCATTGTAGGAACTTGAACCACGGTCGTGGCAAGTGAGTAAGAAGTGAGGAGTCTTCGCTTTGGGACATTTTGAAGGTGGGGACGACCGGTTGTGTTAATAAGTTGGTCACGGCTTTAAGAGAAAGAAGTCAAGGATGACCCTGGTTTTCAGCAATTGAAAAGGCAGAGGGGCCTTTTGCTGAGACAGTGTGAGACACTGACACTGTCTTAAGCAGGATTTACAGCTTCTCTAGGGAGAGTTGTTTCTCGAGAGAGCTTTTCATCATCCTGGACCCCAGTGCGCCCTGGTTTCTAACAAAGGAGACTTACAAATCCTGTCTGTGCTCTCTGGACAGGGGAATGAAGTCTAACGTCATATTTCACTGAACACTAAGCAGATGTCCAAGGTGGAAGGAAAAATAGAGTTGTTGTGAAGTAGTCAACAGTCTCCCTCCCCAAATATAGGTGTGGTTTGGAGAAGCTGTAATTTTCCAAAGCCATCAAAGCAGAAAGTGTCTGTGATTAAAACAGTGTACATATTGAATTTAAACACTGGCTGATCTTTTAGCGAAGCTAAATTCAGGCACAAGAGAAGTTCAGAAACATAATAAACATTTCTAAGGGGTTATTGCAACGTGTCAAATGAAGACATGGCCACAGGAAAAAAGGCAAGCATCCTCGTAATGGGTGAGGTTTGCAGGGGTGAAACGCTATGATTACGGACAGAAGGTATCCTCGGTGGAGGAGCTGCAGTTTTCAGAAGCCACATTAGTAAACATGGCCCTGGCTAACCCAGTACAGATACAGTGGGAGCTCTGGCGGCATCCTCACTAACCAGCTCCTGAAGCACGAGCAGGCTCTCGGTGCCCGACGTGTGACTCGGTGAGGCAAACACGGTCACTTTGTTCGATAGACGTGATCGAGGGTTGTGTTAGAACAGGATCAGAATGGCGTTCTGAACGTGGCTCCCAGTGCTCCGTAGACGGCGGTTACCGGGCTGTCAGGTAACCTGCCTGCCTCCTTTGTCGCGGACTCTATGGAACACCCTTCATGACTACAGGCAACGACAGAGCTGTGTGTACTGAAACCACTTGCTATGGGAAGATGTCAGGTCTAGCCACTGAGGCCTAACATGGCTTGCCCCTCGCCGGATGTGGCCCCCCCGCCGAGGAGCCATCACAGCTATGGGTCCCTGGTGAAACCATGGTGCTCTCAGTCTTCCAGCTGCCTGGCCCCATATCTACCCTCTGGTTTCCCTTAAGTCCTCTGTGTATGATTTGCTTTAAGCCGCCAACCCAAGCTTTTGTTTGCAGTCACCAAATCTTTGTTCTGAAAAGTGTGTTTAAATAAATGGCGCATGAAATTATGTAGCGCTCTAAGCCCATTTGGCCACGTACAAGAATGTTGGGCTGGCACAGATACAGCTCCTTCCCTTAGAAAGCTCCCGGCCACCCTGGCTGCAGATGCTGCAGGACTTCTCTTCACTGAAGGGACGTGTGGACGGGAAGGTTTCCGGATTGGCAGTAGTCAGGCTGGGCTCTCTTGAACCTTATTTATTTTTGAGGAAAATGGGGTGTGGTGGTCACAGTTTGAGGAGCCCTTAAGATCATTGAGCCCCGTCTGCTTTGGCTGTTATGATTGATGCGTCTCCGCTCAGCTTTCTACATCTTTCATTCCATATTCAGTGACACAGGGGTGGAGAGCGTCTGGCCAGCAGGCCGCAATCATTTGGTCTGGCCCTGCCAAGGTGTTAGGGGGGAGTTCATTAAATGTTGGACCCAATATAGCAGGCTAATGCTTACGTTGATAATGTTGTATGGCCCGTGAAGGATGTTATAAATCTCCAAATGGTCCTTGGCAGAAAGAAAAGGTTCCCCACCCCTGCAGTAATGGCATAGAATAGTGTCTGAAAAATGAGGAAAGTAATAGGAACTGGGTGCTTATGTGGTGTGTGAAGGGGGTTCCAGTGAACTAGAACAGAACTAGAAAACAACCCAGTCTTTCCCAGATCTGTCCCCCCACTTCCCAGTATTCTTTCTACACTCTTGTTTTAACTTTTTGTTTTGCGGTTCTGTTTATTCTGGGTGTGATCTGACACCTAGGGTAACAGGGACAACACTGAGGGATGAAGGCCTGGGAGAAGACAGCGAGGAGAGAGTGCCCCTCCATCTGTGGAGGCATATTGAATCGGATGCTCTGGAGCTCCATTCACCAGCGTGGCTGAAAGAGGGAGGGAGGAGAGAGCGTCTGCCTGCTTTTGCTCCTGGTTTGTGTGTGCCTGGGGGCCTGTCTAGCCGTGATGGCTCCAAGTATTGCTGCTCTTAGAAAACTAGAGTGATGAGTTGGGATGAGTGAGTAAATTAAAGAAAAAAATTATTATGGTTTTGAAATAAAGAATAATGCGTCCTTTTAAACTGGGAGCAGAGCGTATGTACCTTATTTGATCTCAGCGTTGACAGTTGTTTGTACCAGCCATCCGACAAATTCCTCCAGGGCTGTGGTTCATCCGATGAGGCACGTGGCTGGATCGCATCCTCCACGTCAGCTCAGCAGAGAGTTGCATGTGGCTGGCGGCACGCCTCGGCGCGGCACCTGAACTGAGCCCTGAACTGTCAGCTGTCCTGGCCTTCCTCGGTTTGGGCGCTTTGCCGCCTTCTCCAGCCTGTCTCTTCCAGGCAGGACCACCTCTGGCATGTTTGCTTTAAGAATTGTCAACTCTTGAGGAAAGTACACAAGTTCTCTTGGTTTCTTATTCATCTGCACTTGCCCTAAGCAAACTTTTGAAGAAGGTTAAATTTCTGCAAAGCCCCAGTCTCCAGCCTGCCCTGTGACCCTGGGTGACGTCTTTTTCTTAACTGTTAACGAGTTGCGGTGTGGGCTTTTTCACAAGATTCACCGAAACCCAGAAAGCTCCCCAGACCCATAAGGTTGCTATCCATTGGGAAAGGTTTAGGCAACCACTGTGGGTGTTTAAGGCTGCCACTCCTGCCCCAATTCCTGCTGTACTGGATGGGATGGGTTTCCACGTGCTAGAGGCTACCTTAATTTCCCTGCTCCTACACTCTCTTCCCATCCATCTGCACACGTCTCCCCTCCTGCACCACCACACATCCACCTGGACTAGACTCCCCCGTCTTTACCACTACACGGCCGAACCGCCAGCGTGGCTGAGCTGGCCGTGCTGTGGGGACAGCTGCCCGGAGCGTCGGCGTTGAGTACAAAGGGCCGCCTGTCATTCAGCTATTCCCCAGGTCCCCAAAATAGCCATTAATGCTCTGTCTGTAATTCTCTTCTGATGTGCTGTTGCTTAGTCTTATTTCTGAATATCACCTTTATTTTTGTAAACATAGTCATTTTATTCTAGATTGATCTTAAATCCTCCCTCTGGCCTCCCCGAATGCCAGTGTTCCACTTTTCTGCACCCACCGTACTGAGCGGCTCGGCCCACTCCTCCTTGTAGGCTTACATTTTAATGGCTATAAGCTGGACGGTGGCCTCAAACTCCTGCCCGGCCCATCACTGTTTCCCATACCAGCAGGATGGCTTCTGCGTCTTTGCCCAAGGGGCCCCTTTCCTGCCCGTTGCACACAGGTTATATCTTCAGGGATATTTTGCCTGATCAGGGCTACTCATTTTTAAAGCTGTCAATACGTTGCTAATCCACTATTTCCAAACTTATTTAAAGTGTTGCAGCTTCCCTTTTTAACTGTGTCTGATCAAATATTAATACAGCCATACACACACTCGGGCTGCCCACTTAACGCAAGGTATGAACACACTGTTCAATATTAGTAAGGTGCTGTTCAGCTAAATCAAATATTAACCATCGAAACCATGACATCTCCCGGCAAAGAGGGAAGAAGGTAGCTTTGATCTTTTTTAGCACATAGCTGTGGTGAGGTCATTGTTATTAATATTTTTAAAAGCTTTGCTCAAGGGTACGACGTCACCAAAATGTATTATTAGTAACGTATTGAATAATTCAAAACCTGTCACAAAAACTGGCCAATACAATGAATAAAACCCAGTTTGGGGAACTTCCCCCTGGGATTCTTTTTGACTTTTTAAGTCAAAAAGAAAAGTCACAACCTGGTGACCTTTCTGAGTGTCACATAAATTAGGCTGAAGCACGGTTTTATCCGCTTGTACATTTTCCTCCTGATCTCCTTGTGTCATGCAGCTCAACGGAGACTCTCAGGCAAAAGTGCAGCGGATCCTGCGGTTGATTTCCGGTGGAGGACTGTCCATAACAGGATCGCACATCTTGTGCGGAGACTTCCTCTTCAGTGGTCACACGGTCGTGCTGACACTAACTTATCTCTTCATCAAAGAATGTAAGTAACTCATTCCCACTTGATGGGTTCGCTCGGCCCCGAAACCGATGGGAGCCCTTATTCTATTGGAATTGATAGGTGTGTGTGTGTGTGTGTGTGTGTGTGTGTGTGAGAGAGAGAGAGAGAGAGAGAGAGAGAGAGAGAGAGAGAGAGGTCTGTTGTTCCACTTCCACTTATTGATGCATTCATTGGTTGCTTCTTGTGTGTGCCCTGCCTGGGGATCAAACCCACAACCTTGGTGGGATGACGCTCTAACCAGCTGAGCTACCCGGCCAGGGCTGGCTTGAGGTTTTTTAAATTGTGTAAGTTTACATACAGCAAGGAAAGAATTACATTCTCCTTGTTCCAATCTTTGATGGGAAGTAAAACGGCAAATCTGTTATCTTAATACAACTCAACTTTAAAGTCAGCTCGCCACATAAACAAGGCACTCCCTGTGTATGCCCGTTTCCCGTGCAATTGGGAAAAACAGCCAGTTTCTAAATTATACATGTGCTATTGTCCTGAGTAAGCAGTGGTTCCAGTGGTCTCTTTGAACAGCCTGCTTCTGGAATTAGATGCATCATTTATATATTTTTTGCTTTCCCGCCTTTTGAACAATTTGGACTCTCTCCTCATTTGTCCCATTGTCATGAGTGGATTTGAATTCAGTCATGTGAGCAGAAAACGTGGGACCAGGATGACTTTGAGGTTAACAACAGAGGGCTTCACCCAGCTGTGCAGATATTACCATTGGGCCTGGGTTCCTATAAAATCAGCCTGGCTCCTGGTACTCTGTGTCTTGCTGGTCGAGAAAACATTGTTTTAACCTTGCTACCACACAAAGTCCATTGTCTCTGTTCATTGACAACCGGGCTAGGCCCCCACAGACAGTGGGGTTATTAATAATTGTGTCATCGACTTTTAGACTTGCTACCTGTGGCGCCCCTCCCCCCTTCCTTCCTACCTGAGCGAGCCCTGGGCTGTTCACAGCCCCACGTTTTGGGTTATTAGTGTTCTCCTTCCGGAGACTTGTTGACCTCAGACGATTCTGATTAAGGCCAGCAGGACAGACTAGTCATGAAGCGCCTCTCCGGGAACCTCCTTACTCCCGTTTTCTCCCCTGCAGACTCACCTCGTCACTTCTGGTGGTATCACTTAGTCTGCTGGCTGCTGAGCGCTGCCGGGATCATCTGCATTCTCGTGGCTCACGAGCACTACACGGTGGACGTCATCGTTGCCTACTACATCACCACACGGCTGTTCTGGTGGTACCATTCCATGGCCAATGAAAAGGTGAGAGCGGTGAACTCTCTCTTGGATAACTTCTTTACAGGCAGGGGAGCCCTTTTCGTACAGTGGGGTTTGGGTGGCTTTGTGGGAATGACTGCTATTGCTGCCCAAGTGTGTGGTTAGCTCAGGTCAGTTCTTACCCTTATATCTATTATTGCGTTTTAAAATAAAGAACATCACACATGTAAATAACATCTATATATATAAAAGCCTAAGCAACTGAAAGACCGTATGACCGATCGACCGGTTGCTATGATGTGCACTGACGACCAGGAGCAGGCGCTCAATGCAGGAGCTGCCCCCTGGTGGTCAGTGCGCTCCCACAGCCAACCTCCCGTGGTCCCTCCCCCCAGCCAGCCAACCTCCTGCGGCCCCGATCAGCTCGATCACCGGCCAGGCTGAGGGACCCCACTCATGCATGAATTCGTGCACCAGGCTTCTAGTTTAAGGATAAAAATGTATGATTACAGAGCACAGTGTTATACTAATTCAACTACTGTAATTTATATGAGAATTAAAGAAGTACATATGCTAAATTAAAATGCAGGCACCTTCTCTGTAGCAGCACTGAGGTGCAGCTAGGTAAAACCCCTGCCTTCAGAGAACTCAAGTTTGAGAACAACTTGGCAACTATTTTTGGAAGTCAGGCAAATTGAGTGCCTTATGACTAACCGGATTTAGTACATCTTTTGGTGATGTGGTGCTCTCTGGCTTCTTTCTTATTCTGATTTCTTCTGCGTCCTGTTTCCAGATGCACTTTTTTCTTCTCCCACATGTTCTGAGAGAGCTAGCTCCAATGCCACCTCTTCTGGGAAGCCTTCCCGGACTTCGTTCTCTGCCACTAGTCCCGCGATGGAATTGTCCCTCCCCTCCCTGTGCTTTCCTAGCCTTGGTGCATATCCAACAGTTAGTCTGTGTGCCGCGACCTACCCTGGGGTCATCTTGCCATTTTGTCTGTTGCATGCAGAGTGTGGAGAATTTGGGAGAGATTGAAATGTTGTCCTTCCCAAAGGCTCTAAGTTCAGTTCTCATGGAGTGGTGCCCACGAATGAGGGCCCTCTCTATGGACCTGTCTTGTAGCTCTGTTTCCTGTTTTATAGTCTCCTGTTGCCATCTTCTGTTTAGTGATCAGCTGACGCCACAGAACCAAGCTTTTCTCTTTCCTCTTAAAAGTGCTCAACCTTGTGAGCTCTCCTCTCTCTTCCCTGGTCACTTAGGCTTTTATATATAGAGATCTGACCACTCAGTTCCTGAAAATTGTTCCACCCGGGTAACTGCCACCTGCATTCCTCAGTCTCCATTGTCACTGGATTTGCAGGCAGGCAATCAACATGAGCCACGAGAGGAAAGACGGAGGGGCTGGGAGGGGTGGGGCCAGGTGGCATCCGGTGGGGAAGAGGTGCAGACAGTATGCCTCGGGACCTGGAGGCTACTGCTCCTCTGCCATTACAGCAAGTGACGGTTTAATTCATGGGGAAAGTCAGGAAGCGTGAAAAATACGCCTCATTTCGCTCTTCCCTTGCCTTTTACAGAACCTGAAGGTCTCTTCACAGACTAATTTCTTATCTCGTGCGTGGTGGTTCCCCATCTTTTATTTTTTTGAGAAAAACGTACAAGGCTCGATTCCTTGCTGCTTCTCCTGGCCGCTCTCCTGGCCTCCGGGCTGCTTTAAGTCTTCGTGCAAGAAGTACTCGCGGGTTCAGAAGATCGGGGAAGACAATGAGAAATCTACCTGAGGGGCAAAACAAAGGCTTCAGCTCTTACACCCAAAGCGGTATCGCTGTAACCAAAGGGATAGTTTTGTTTGTTTTCTTATTTTAGGAGAACTGACTGGTAAGTGAAGAAGTGGACCAAATTTTGTGTAAACGATTAGAAAGATGAACAAAGTGTTACGCTTTGACTGTTTGTTTTTTTACGCCTCCTGAGAAAGTCTTCTTCTCCTGAGGCTCTTCCTTCATGGTGACAAGCCCTCCACCGGGATTCCCTGATGAGCTTGGAAAGAGGTGCCAAAGAACACGTCCGCCTGCCCTTCGTCTTTCTCCACTAAAGCATTTTTTCAGGATTTCTTTTCCTCCAGGGTCAGAAGGATTTGCCAATGTTTTCAATAAACTATCTGGACAGATACAACCTAATGTTGAGGGTGGATTTGAGCACTGGGCCTCTTAGTGAGGGGGAGACGCAGGGGTTGTGAGTAAACTTCGGGTGAACTTATTCTCCCTGTCCTGGGGAAGGTCAGGGTCAGGTCTGCGAATACGTACTGCTGCTACCACCCAATGTACTATGTGTCACTTTTACTTTATTTTTTTTAACTGATAATTTTATTTAAAACATGAAAGAAGCGTGATCTAAGTAAATATGGAAATATTTGACACACCCCACAGATTTTACTTGGGCGTAAATACTTACTTTTAAGATCTCTCTGACAGATGCACACACAGGGAGCAGGGCTGTTTCCGCTCACAGTGGTCCTTGTTTGCACACTGGCTGAGCACAGGCTGAAAAACACGTGTGTGAACTGTGGCTCGTGCCACGTGGGGAACAAGCCTGCATTTCTCGCCCGGGTCCCCCCCGGGTGAGGTCTGTTTCAGAGCTGCTCACTGGAACTCAGAAATGCAATTGGTCACATCTCACTAAGCCCACTTCTTTCTAGTTCCATTCTGCTTTATGGGAAAAGGAAGACGGAGTCCAAAAGCTGAATGAATGCATCCTTTTTAAGAGGCCCAGCTTCTTGTAAACAGAGTGCTTATAGGAAGGAAGGACTAAGGAGACAGACCACAATGAAGTCGTTCTGCTCTGACCCTGACAGGACACCACGGCGCTGCACGCTCACCTGCTGCTGGAATCCAGGCGGTAGACAGCACAGCTGGTCGTTTCTAAAGTTCTTTCAGGTGATGCGGAAAAAAAAGATGGACTTGATCAGATTTAATGCTGTCAGAGTTCATGCGTTGTTTCATGCTGTTGGGGCTGTGGACAATTCTTAATTTCTTACAACTTCTAGGACCTTAGGAAAAGATCTATTAAGTTACACAGTCATCAGCACAGAGAACAGAGAGGCCAACTCTGTGGGAAGGCAGTTACATTTATATTGAAGGCAACAATTTCCCACCCCTTAGAATGAAAACAAAAATGAAAAACCACCCCTAAATTTGCCATGAACCAGTCAGCCCTGAGTTGATATACAAAATTGACCTTCAAATTACTTGAGCGAAGCACAGTACACACTGACATGTGTTCAGGAAGGGTCTTTATCCTTTGGTGCTAAAATTCTCTGTGCTTCCAGTGTAGCTCCTGCTCTGTGTAATAGAAGAATCACTAAAGGAAACATGGTTGAGTTCAACACCAGGAAGAAAGATTTTTCTAATCTGGTATTTGAAACAAGAAACAAAACCCTAAACCTTCTTGGCAGGTTTTCAAATGCAGGAAGTTTTTCTGGTATTTATCATTAAACCAATAAGAAACATATCCATACCTTACCAGATGTTTAGCTAGAATTCCACATAATTTTCGCCTACGAAATATGGGCACGTGTGAAAAAACAAGGTGTTCTGTGTGAAGACACTGGTGTTAAATTCCTGTTGTCCAATTGTGAGGAAAAACATATGACGCGGAAGCCTGGGCTTTGCTCTCCTAACACTGGTACATTGAGCCTCTGACTTAAATAAGACAACCTGGTATATCTGAGAGCCTTATTCCTACATTGTAGATAGCCCACTCTTCATCAAATTAAATTAGGGAACGTATTTAAGCTTTTAAAATCCTGGCGCGTTGATTGCTGGAGGCCCTCGAAATAGTAAACCTTGCATTTTAGTCAGGTAACTAGTTTTGTTTTTAAATAATGCCATCACCTTTTCAAGAACTTTTAAAAGGACTTCTGACTCCACCTGTGGACACTGCTGCTCCCATGCTCCTCACAGAGTCTACCAGGGGTGGGCAAACTTTTTGACTCGAGGGCCACAATGGGTTCTTAAACTGGACCGGAGGGCCGGAACAAAAGCATGGATGGAGTGTTTGTGTGAACTAATATAAATTCAAAGTAAACATCATTACATAAAAGGGTATGGTCTTTTTTTTTTTTAGTTTTATTCATTTCAAACGGGCCGGATCCGGCCCGCGGGCCGTAGTTTGCCCACGGCTGGTGTATGCCATAGCTCTGTCATTGGCACTGCAGGAGCATGTGGTACCAGAATAAGGGTGAAGGGGAAATACCAAGTTTCAAGGTGGGAAGGTGAGAATAGTGAATCTCATTTACATTTAGAAAAGCAAACGTGAGGTCTAACCCAACATCCCACTTTAGAGTATGAAACACGAACAATTACTAGACGTAGGGTGGTGATCACTTCACAGTCTATAGAAATCGCAAATCATTACGTTGTAAACCTGAAACTAATACGTCACTTATATCTCTGTTTTAAAAAATTTCGATCTTGCCTCTCAAACAGTAAACTTTTGGAGCTCCTTTTCCTGCTTAATCAATATATAACATCGATTACTGTTTTTGTGAACTTGTACTCCTCTTGGAAGCTTTTCCTATAATTTAGTCCTCTGTGCAGTATCTATAACATGTAATTCCTCTAAGTTATAACACTTTTTTTCTAAATTCTTTGAAATGGGAATGAATTCCTCTCATTATAATTTTGGAGCTCCTCCACCAGCTCTGAAAATAAAGCGTTCTTCCTCAAGTCCAGTGGAAGTAATTTGGAATTTTTAATTTAATTTACTGGCATCTTGGAAAACAAGTTTTGCTGTGGAAGGAATGCTGGCTGGAGTGAGGGCGAGTCTTTAGTCTGCTTTATGGATGACTTTGCATTAGGTTCTTGGCTGTATACCAGCGCCCCCTTGCGGAAATATGTTATATGACTTTGAACACAAACCTGCCACTTTTTAAAGTGTATTTTCAAGTTTTTAAAAGGCATATGTTTTTTATTTATTTTTTGCGAATAATCTTGAAAGCATAATGAAAATGGAATTATGTTAAAGGTATTTTAAACCTTTCCCAAAGGGAAAATGTACTTAGATCACAGGGAGTTGCAATTCTAATCTTTTATCCATTTGATCAAAGAAAATTTGCAGACCATTTTTACCTCTCACCATCACAATCATTAATGTCTCCCTTTATAACTACCGACACTTTGTTTACTTTGAAACACCAAGTTGGCTGCCTTTTTTATTTTACATGTTAGAACTCATGCAGTTTCTTTTTTTTTTATCACATCTTGTTCCTTGGATATTTTGAACATTTTTGAATTATTTTTTATGTTTATTTTTGTTTTGCACTGTAAAACCGATTAAAAATTTAAGCCGGTCTTAGCACACTTCTGTAGTGTCAGGAAGTGTAAGAAGGAATTTCATAATAAATGTGTTTGCATGTTTAAATCAAGCATATTAAAAGTAATATGCTATGTGTTGAAGGTTTTTCTGTTATGTATGTATAAAGATTCCTAGCATTTTTGTTTAATGTCATTGTGTTGCAATAATTTAACTCAGTTGACTTACTTGCTGAAAATATTTTGTCTATTAAGAAGTGCTCTTGACTTCAATACCTAAACACTGAAAATTGTGTCTAAGGTGCCCAAAGATAAGTTTTTATATAGATTTACACCTTATGAGTTGGGATTTGTTTTGTTATTCATTAATTTAACTATGCTGTGTTCTGAATGAATGATGAATGACACTAGTTCTTTATTCTGAAATTATTTAAAATTGTCCTTTAAAAGAATAAGAGGAAGCTATAAATGTAAGCTGATCTAGTTGCCAAGTTGGGATTCATTATTTAATTTAACTCCTATGCAATGATTAATGCTGCAAAATGTATGGTTATGTTATGGTATAGTCACAAAAGAAATATTATTATGAGGTTTGAGAGGTGTAGCCTATTGTATTCTTTCAGAAATTTACTGTACTGTTTCAATGTGTTAAGTGCCTTGTTGTAAAGTAAAATTTTAAGCCTAGAATGCATTATTTTCCTGATATATATTTTTCATTATGATATATACTGTATGTTATTGTAATAGTTTTATTAAATGCTTATGTTTTAATCAAATATGTGATTTTCAGAAGCTCTTTTCTCCTACCCACCAGTACCTTAATCATTAGTCTATCATATGGGGTTTGAATTCAGGTCCTTTTTTTTAAAGAGGAAATTATCTTTGTTTAGAAGTATGTTTTTCATGCTTGTGCTTTTATATTTGTAAAAACATTTCAGGAGGAATTTAGAAGTGTAACTATAGTTTGTACTTCAAAATGCCATTTTACATTTACATTTTAAGTGCCTAATTGTTAGTTAAAACTAATTTATGTTTTTATTCTAAAGACAAATGTGTACTTGGTTTCTAATCTCGTTGGCTTTGCTTTAAAAAAACACACAAAAAAGCAAGAGCCTCTACTTCCTATTTACCCAATAAACCACCATGACAGCAACAGTATTTTCAAAATCAGTACTACTATTTCTTTCAATTAAAAAAAAATGTTTTCTTTAAAGATTTAAAAAATGTGTTTAGTCTTATATGCTTATTAAAACCACTAGTGGGTTATTTTTTTCAAGTACTATTTTTAAAATGAGCGGATAACTTAAACTGAGTGTTATTTTTCCTGCCCTTGATTTAAGATGAAAAAAAATAACTCAGCCCTGGCCGGAGAGCTCAGTTAGTTGGCGTGTTGGTCCGTGCACCAAAAGGTTGTGGGGTTTGATCTCTGGTCAGGGTGTGTATGGGAGGCAGCTGGTCAATGCTTTCTCTCTCTCTCTCTCTCTCTCTCTCTCTCTCTCTCTCTCTCTCTCTCTCTCTCTCCCCCCCTCCTTCTCTCCCCCTGTCCTTTCTTTAAAAATCAATAAACATATCAGGTGAGGATTAAAGAATAATAATTCATAACAACATAAGGTCATTCGTGGAGAAGAAAAGCCAGTTCCCTGCTCCATGATTCTGATTCTCATTGTTCACAAAGAGACAAAATCATGCTTCATCGAGGAGAGCAGAGTCCTTCCTGTCAGTCAGAAAGAAATGTCATCTTCATCCCTTCACAGAGCGGGCACCGGGGTAATGTCCTCGACTAAACCCTGACAGCATAGTCATTGCAACAGTGGACTGATGACTTGTCCTTGGACCCTCTGATGAAAGATGAAGGCGTGACTTCCAAAGACAAGTTCAGTAGAATGAAGGGACTAGAGCAGTGGTTCTCAACCTTTTGGCCCTTTAAATACAGTTCCTCATGTTGTGACCCAACCATAAAATTATTTTCGTTGCTACTTCATAACTGTAATGTTGCTACTGTTATGAATCGTAATGTAAATATCTGATATACAGGATGGTCTTAGGTGACCCCTGTGAAAGGGTCGTTAACTGCCAAAGGGGTCGCGCCCCACAGGTTGAGAACCGCTGGACTAGGGTAAGATAAATAGAGTTCAAAGGCTAACTTGTTGGATATAGTCCCAGTTACTATGGATTATCTGGGAACGATAAGAGTAGAGATCAGGAGAATCTTTTGCCACCTGCACCCAGGCCTCAGATGAAAAGCTGGTCTCTCCTCCCGTTTGAGACGTTTGCACGCCAATTTTGCTGGCTATGGCCCAAAGAGTGTCCTTACCCAGCGTACGTTAAACCAGGAGCTGATGTGCTGCTGCACAAACCTTGACACCTAACATTTAATTTTCTTCTAGTAAAATACACGAGAATATCAGAAGCATGACACTAGATTATTCACTGATACAAGTTAGAACAGCACAGCTTATGCACTGTGTCTACATGATGCACGTTACTCTGTGCGTGGCCCGTGTGATGAGGCACAGCATTTTATAGTTTCTGTGTTCCACCTGCATTCTTTAATCTTCACAAAACCCTGCAAGGCAGGCAAAGAAGTGGTGACCCCATTCCGTGAGATGAAAGAGTTCCTAGTGTCACAGCTTGGAGCCTGAGTTCTGTTTTCTCTGTTTGGCGGTCTCCCTGGCATAATTACTGGGTTTGCCACCCCAGTTTGTTAAAGGTGCTGCTGTTGTTTATTTGTTAGGGGACTTGATTCCCTTTTCAACCAGTTAGTTTGTTTAAGAGGGAGACTGGTCCTTGGAACAAGTTCTTTGTCAAATGCTACTGATTTTTCTTACACTTGCAGTTTACATTTAAATAGAGTTTACATTTCAGAGGAGAGGAAATTCAATGTTTCTGGTGCAAAACAGCATTGAAGGCAAAAGGACCCCCAGTGTTGGACTCACAAGTTTGTTTGAATTGCAAGTATCACTCATAGCATAGACACTGTTGTGCACTTAGCCTGGCACAGGTTAAATGGGGAGCATAAAAGTGCGTAGGCTTTATCTCTAAACTAGTGACCCGGTGCATGAAATCTGTGCACATTAAAAGGGAATTAATTGGAGGAAATATTTTAATGCTGCTATTTGCCCTTTCTCTATAATAGAAGTGTCAGAGATGAAAGAAAATTAGTAAATGTATATGAAAATCTTCCTCCTGTCAGAGTCTGGGGTGTGCCATGGGAACCAGAGTCAAGTCCCCGCCCACCCACGTGTGTCTCGAAATCACCCCAGACCCAGACCTGGCTGGGCTGCACCCCCATTGGGCTAGATCTAGACCCAGCCGGCCCCACCCCCGTCAAGCCCCACCGAGTGGGGGGCGCAGCCTCAGGTCGCCTGGCCCGAGCTGGGAAGCACACCTTGAGGTCCCCTGGCCCAGCCAGGGGGCGTGGCCTGAGGTCCCCCGTCAAGCCCCACCAGGCGGGGAGTGCAACTTCAGGTCCCCCAGCCTGGGGCGAGGTGCGCGGCCTGAGGTCCCCCAGCTGATGCCAGGGTGGGGAGCACGGCCTGAGGTCCCCCAGCCTGGTGCCAGGGTGGGGGGCGTGGCCTGAGGTCCCCTGTCAAGCTCCACCAGGCGGGGGGCGCAGCCTCAGGTCCCTGCTGATTGCTCGTTAAGGCTCATTACGGGAACTTGGCCTCCGCTGTGGGCGCAGCCATCTTGACCGTTGTGGCGTGATAGTCAATTTGCATATTCCCTCTTTATTAGAGAAGATGACTCTCAGGACTTATTCCCAAGGGGATGGAAAAAAGGAGAGATAGATGGCCTGCTTTCAAAGGACAGCACAGCTCTGAGGGATGGCATGGAATTGGAGTCAGTATTGTCCTGATTGATTCTGAGCTCCCCAAAGGACCAAAGTGCAGCCGTAGGATTGTTTGATCCTGGCATGAACTGGAGAGTTTGTGCTAAAAATCTGTCCAAACCCATATGTGTGCTTGCTTCTGGCCAAGTTTCAGGGCACACTTCACTTCAGTTGCTAGATCCAAGCACTAATCTCCTTTTCTTTCTAAGTTCCTTAAACTATGTATTTATTTGAGTAAAAGGAAAAGAAGCTGCCATACACGAGGCTAATAGGTTTCCCCCTTACCTGACAGGCACAGCAGCCCTGCCAGGTGAGCCTCCTAAGCTCCATTCACAAGTGAGGGAACTCCAACAGAGAGGTGAATGCTGGGCCAGGAGCACACAGATGCTGATCCCAAGAACGCCCAGGCCCATTGTTTGCTCACGGCGCAGTGTGACAGAAGAGTCACCCCCGTGCCAGGAATGCATACAGAGAAGACGTACCTCCTCTGGAAGTCTTGACCACCAGGTTTTGTGTTGAGAGCAAGGCTAAGGGGTGCTGGCACTGAGCCCTCTGAGATCCCATGGCCCACATGTAGCAGAATTCCTGTTTCCACGTGAACTCTAGTCCTATCACCCATAAATACGTGCTCTTCCTCTTTATATGCTCATGCCTTGTAATTGATGTGTGATGAGTGGGGCAAAACTGTTGCTCCCTTCATTCATCACATAGCTGCCTGAGGCCATGGCAGACGATGGCAGAGGAGTAGTGGGCCCAGGGGCGACTGAACTCCCAGAGCACACACCCAACGTCTCCAGGAATGAGAGCTTTGCTTAGAGATGGCACTTGTGAACATATTTTTTATCTGGTCAGTTTCCTAGTTCATGGTTTGAAGACAATGTTTATATCTGACACTGGGAAAAAGACATGCCCTGAAGTCTTTGGGAAACGGCATGTTCTTAAACTATGAACATATATGTCTCTCAGTCCTGGCGGCAAGGGAGCCTGAGACCAGGGTGCTAGCACGGGTAGGCTCCCTTCCAGACTTCCTCACACCTGGGGGAGAGATCTCTAGTCTCTTGCTCTTATAAAGGACACAAATCTCATCATGGGCCTCTATCCTCCTAACCTCATCTAAACTTAATTACATCCCAAAGGTCACATCTTATTAGGGGTTAGGGTTTCACATATGGATTTTGGGGGCACACAAACACCTGGGCTTTTTAATTTTAAAAAGCACATCTTTTTAAAGCAAAGTGCACTGCTTATAGTACAGTCTCAAGCTCTGCAGGTTTCATGGTTCCTCCTAATCAGGGCCCTGACTATGCAAGGCACTTTCCCACTGCTGTCAACCAATAGCACCCTCTGCCCGGCTCAGGCTGCTCTGTCCCTGCCTCTGTCCTGCAGTCATCAGTCCTGCCCTGTGATGTGCTTTCAGAATATCACCTGTCTTCCCAAGAGAGAACTCGGTGGCCCTGTGCTCTCTGGGTTTGAATCTCAGTTCTTCCAGTCCTACTTTTTAAAGAAGACCTTAAAAAGTTGCCTAACCTCTCTGTGCCTCGGCTTCTTTATCTGGAAGACAGAAATAATAATAGTCAGTGTCGCATGGAGTTGTTAGGAGGACTAAATGAAAGGTGTTACAAGACACACATTCAATAAGTGTTGGCCAAGGTCAGTTAACAAAAACTTTAGTACCATGGTTCTAGCCCTGAAATGATTAACATCCAAATCTTGCCTGTCATGAGAGTTAAGGTGAAGTCTTATCTCCTGAAAGCTTTACCTTCTCTGAATTCCTCCCTAAAAGATACATACAATTGCCAAAAGGTGAGCTACAATCACTACTTTAAGATTTAAAAAATATATCCTGTTTCCATACCAAATTAAGATTCCTTTAAAGAGGATTGTCTTAGTGTTCATTTCAGTGTCTAATAAAGTTCTTATCACATAAAGGTTATTCAGCAAATATTTACTGAATGAATATTTTAAAATGCCTTGTGTATTTGGGTTATTAGCAGAATTTATGAAGATTCAATGGAAAGGAAATTGTCCACTAGGCCACCAAATAGTTTGCTTTAAGATAATTGAAGCATTTATCAAACCATCGTATGTTTATAACTTGACAATGTTCCAGTAGCTACCACATAATATGCGTTTTGATAAAAAATGTGGATTGAAAAGTCTGAGATCCCCACTCCATCTAACTTTCTGGCCCACCCAAGCTATTTCCAGTGGCTTTACCATAATGGCCTGTCTTGACCCATGCTTCAGATCTTCCTAAAATCTCTCAAACATGCAGCATCTGTCCTCAGTGAGCCCAATACTTAAGTGGCCCCAGGCCTGACACTAGCCG